TTTTTTAAAATCTTTTTATTATTTACTTATTCATTTGACTGTGCCATGGAGCATGTAGGATCTTAGTTTCCCGACTTAGGGCTTGAACCTGTATCCCCTGTAGTGGAAGTGCAGAGTCTTAACCACTGGACCACTAGGGAAGTGCCTGAATCACATATCGTAAGTGGTTGTCCAAAGTCACTCAGCCAGTAAGTGGTAGAGCTGGGATTTGAATGTAGGTATTACTTCCCTCTTGCCTGGAAAATCCCATGGACGGAGGAGCCTGGTATGCTGCAGTCCATGGGATTGTTAAGAGTCGGACACGACTGAGCAACTTCACTTTCACTTTTCACTTTCATGCATTGGAGAAGGAAATGGCAACCCACTCCAGTAGTCTTGCCTGGAGAATCCCAGAGATGGGGGAGCCTGGTGGGCTTCCATCTATGGGGTTGCATAGAGTCAGACACGACTGAAGTGACTTAGCAGTAGAAGTAGTAGCATTACTTCTCTGGTGGCTCAGACGGTAAAACATCTGCCTACAATGCAGGAGACCCGGGTTCAATCCCTGGGTCAGGAAGATCTCCTGGAGAAGGAAATGGCGACCCACTCCAGTATTCTTGCCTGGAAAATCCCTTGGATGGAGCAACCTGGTAGGCTACTCCATGGGGTTGCAAAGAGTCGGACACGATTGAGCAACTTCACTTTCTTTCACTTTTGATTCAAAACAAAGTTCTTAACCATTATACTACTTTTCCTCTAAATTTTCAATTTCTTGGCTTCTTAATAAGATTGTCAGCTTTCTTGAAGACAAATACTAGGTCTTAATTATATTGATCTCCTTTTCTCTGGGCTTCCCTGGTGGCTTAGACAGTAAAGAATCTGCCTGCAATGCAGGAAACCCAGGTTCGATCTCTGGGTCAGGAAGATCCCTTGGAAAAGGGAATGGCAGCCCACTCCAGTATTCTTGCCTGGAAAATCCCTTGGATGGAGCAACCTGGTAGGCTACTCCATGGGGTTGCAAAGAGTTGGACACAATTGAGCAACTTCACTTTCTTTCACTTTTGATTCAAAACAAAGTTCTTAACCATTATACTACTTTTCCTCTAAATTTTTGATTTCTTGGCTTCTTAATAAGATTGTCAGCTTTCTTGAAGACAAATACTAGGTCTTAATTATATTGATCTCCTTTTCTCTGGGCTTCCCTGATGGCTTAGACAGTAAAGAATCTGCCTGCAATGCAGGAAACCCAGGTTCGATCTCTGGGTCAGGAAGATCCCTTGGAAAAGGGAATGGCAGCCCACTCCAGTATTCTTGCCTAGGAAATCCCATGGACGGAGAAGCCTGGTGGGCTACAGTCCATGGGGTCGCAAAGAGTCAGACAAGACTTAGCAACTAAGTACATTTCTCTATAGCACCTGGGATGATATTAACACACAGTAATGGACTGATGGTTGTAGACAAAATTCAATGAAAGAATTGACGCGACAGAGAATCAAACCCATAACAATCGCCATTTTACCCCAGGTTCTTACCAACTATAATAACTTAGCATAGTATCCTACATAGAAACAAAAAAAGCTGGCAAAATATTTGTGACAATGGTAATGGCCAAGCGTTAGAGTCGGCCAGAAGGTTTGTAAGTGTGACTGACCTGGGGTCCATCTCCAGTCTCTACTGTATGGTTCTGGCATTTAATCTGTCCTTTTGCTCTCTTTTGACCTTTTTGTCACACTTTGAACTTTTATAACAGTTAAGCTTTCCCCAATGGTTCATGATCCCTCTCCCCTTTTAATCTTGAGGCTTTTAGATGAGCTCTTCACCATTTATTTAAGAAACGTATATCTGAGTCTTAATATATGCCATGCACTTTTTAAAAGCACTTTATATATATCAACCACTTATAATTTTGTGAGTTGGTACTATTATTATTCCCATTGTACAGATGAGGGAACTCTCACTGGATGTTCTTTATTTTTTTCTGAATAATTTTGTTTATTTTATGTTTTGGCTCTGCTGGGTCTTCATTGCTGCATGGGCTTTTCTCTAGTTGCGGTGCGTGGGCTTCTCATTGCAGTGGCTTTTCTCATTGCAAAGCACAGGCTCTGGGGCGCCCCAGCTTTCTGTAGTTGTGGTGCACGGGCTTAATGGATCCAAGGCATGTGGGATATTCCCGGATCACGGATTAAACCTGTGTCTCTTGCATTGGCTGGCAGATTCTTTACCACTGAGCAACCAGGGAAGCACTCTCACTGGCTTTTCTAATGGTTCATTATCCATTTCCAGTATCCAATAGGTATCTGGGAGGCAGGCTGGAGGTGGTACATAGCAAAACCAAAGTCTTTGACTCTGATCGGGCAATCATTTACCTGCTGGATTGTGCCCTGGGTCTGTAGAAGGCAGTGCAGCTGGGTAGTTGGGCCAGCTTTGCCACAGAATACATAAGGACTTCTGTTTCTCTTAGGAGTGATCTTCCCTGCCCCATGGTCTCCTGTTTGGCATGCACACACACCACACACAACATTTGTAATGTTCGTATCATGGATTTGAAGTGCAGGATATAACAGCAGAAACATAGCCTGGGAACTCGATGAAATCTGAATGTGACTTCTCCTCTGCCCCTTATTATCTATTTGATCTTGGGCAAGTGATTTAATTACTTGGTGCTTTGGTTTTCTCAGCTATGAAGTTGAAAATGGTACTGATTATAATAAAAACCATGAAGATTCAATGAGATGATGTATTTGAATATTTAGTCCAGTTATTGGCACATGAAATTGCTCAATATATTGATGCATTAGATATTTTTTAAATTAGTGACATGTAAGACCTTTTTCTATATTAAGGATAATTCACCTTTTGGCCTGTATGTAGCTTGTGGAACTGAATTTTGAGGACTCAGAACAAGACTTGTCTTTATCTAGGTTGTTTATTTTGAATTTTGATGTTGACTTTTATCTTCTTTATCTTTGGCCATTCATGGGCCTTTGGGATCAGTTCCATCATCCTCAGGATTTAAGTTTTGGTGCCTTGTGTAAATGACATTCTTTTAAGGCCAGTGGCAAAGCCTGGTACTAGAGGTCAGCTTTACCTCTACTATCAGTGAGATATTTTTCTCTGCCAGGGTGAGTGTTTTTGCTGTGCCTGTCACTTAGGAGTGTCCAGGGACAGAGTTGGGCACATGTTACTTCACCCCCTTAACAGCCGCAGAATGGCTGTTAAGGACCCCTGCTCCAGGTATTGAGGCTTGAGCCAGAGTTTTCACCAGTCAGTTTCTGAGAGTATGAGGTGCCTCCTAGAAAGATTCTGTTTTAAAAAATGTGCCAATCCAGGGAGACAGGAGTGACATTGCATTGATGTGCCTCCTCCCTTTTATGGATCAAGCTAAGCCCTCTTAAACTGGAGGACTGCTGGTCTGGCATGGCCTAAGAGCAAGCTCCTGACAGTTATCCCCTGAAAGCTCATTAAACCTGGAGCAGGGGATGAAGAAGGTGGTACAAGAGACCCCTGAAAGCACAAGGAAGGAAAGTGGCACACCGCTAACTCTTTACTTGATGTCATATTTGCAGTGGAGGAAGGGAGGCAGGCTCTGGTGCAAGATAGCGAGGTGGACATTCGAGTTCAGAGTCAGATGAACCTGGGTTTGCATTGTGACTCTACTGCCCTATGGCGTTGACGAAGTCACTTCACCTTTCTGAGCCTGGTTTTCTCATCCACAAAATGTGATGAATAATTCTACCCATCTCATAAAATTGCTGTAAAAATTCAGTTGGAGAGTTTACCTAAAGCAATTACTTTGATATTTGCCTGGGATATGTTAAGTGCACATCACCGTCATCACAGCATTGCCAGCAACAAACAGCTGAAAGAAACAGACTGGGGGAAACCAAAAGCAGCCTTGGTTGGGGCATGTGTGGTGTTCCCTTGGGGACTCCTTACAACATGGTCTCTTAGTCTTAGGCACAGGTCCGTGAGTTCCAAGAGAAGAGCTCATGTTCTTCTAGGTCCCAGTCAGGGCATAAGAGAGATCCTAGTTATTGTGAGACTGCTGTGAGTGTCTGTGTGTGTGTGAGCTCGAAAGAGTGAGCTTGAGGTCCAGAAGCCACGTTGACTCAGTGGTGGTTGTATGTGACCCATCAAATTAGCTTTTCTGCAGGAGGAACAGACTGTCATTCTTTGCTTCTCCCTTAGTCATCGGGGACCACTTGCCTTGAATGATGAGGGAAACTACTTCAGCCTATTTCCACAGCTCACACAGGTGGAGTTTGTTCCTGACCTGCTTGTTCTTGACTTATAAAGGGTTCCTAGCATGTGTTTTAACAAGTCTGGATTTGGGAAACAGGATCACTACCCAGTGCTGGAGACCAGTGGTTTTCTCCTTTTCTTTTTTGTTTTGCTTTCTAGTCACAGAACCCAGTATGTAAAATAGACAAAAGAACGCTTGGAAGGCTGCCACTTCCACCCCAAAGGTGTTTCTAAGAAAGCGAGGGAGCCAGCCCATTTGCGAAACACTGAAGTTGTCTTCCTGGGTTGTATTTGCTACCCTTTTCCTGCCTAGGTCTCTGTTTGGGGAGAAGGATTGGACCTGGCTGTGTAAATAAGCAACCTGGCTCTGAGAAATAGGTCTCTACTATAATAACACAGTCATGTAATAACACCTGGCTCCCGCAGTGCCCCTTTGTTAGGCTGCCTGAGCCACGGCAGTTGGAGCTGAGATTGGGACGGACTGAATGTTTAGGGAGCCCAGAGCTAATTATGCAATGAAGTGTTGTAACCAAAGCCTGTTCACCAAGCGTTTAGGGGATTTTGAGGCGGCACTGGTGCTCTTCAGAACATTTCAGCTAATGCAAAATGTGCTGCTTTTCATTTATTACACATGTGTGCCCACTCCAGTGTTCTGTTTCACTCACACAACCTCTTGTATACATGCTATCCCATCTGGCATGGCATAACCTGACGCATTTTTGTCTGCCTCTGCCTCACAGTCAGAGTATGACCTGTACTTTGTCTTTTTTCCTCTCCAGGCTACAGATGCACATGTTGAATGGAGCTCTTCTTGCTCTGCTATTTCCTGTGGTGAATACGCGGCTGGTAAGTGGCCCCTTCTAGAAATATACCAGCAACATACAAAATGGTATTTGCTTGCTCCTATGTCATCCAGTGCTTGTCCTCATCCTTAGGTCATGTCCTCATGTGAGTTTTTATTTTTTCAATCTTTTTTATTAAAGTATAGGTGAGTGGGAATATTAGTTTCAGATGTATAGCATAGTGATTCAATGTTTTTAATAGGTTAAGCTCCATTCAAAGTTATCATGAGATATTGGCTATATTCTCTGTGCTATGCAATATATCGTTTTAGCTTATTTATATTGATCATGGTAATTTCTACCTTTGACCCCTCTGTGTAAGTTTTTACATGTCTACACATTCAATGCAGAGATTTGATGCAACCCTGTTTGGATGTAATGGAGCTTGATGAGGGTGAGAGTATGGTATGGAACTCTGGGGCTTTAGTAAGGGTTTAGGCCAGAACCAGAACAGATCAGAAAAGCCTACAGAAGCTTTTGGAAGGGTTTGGTGAAGAGGAAGGAGGCCCCACCCATTCAACCAAAGCTTTCAGGTGTTCTAAGGGCCTCCAGTGTGGATTCAGCCACATTGGTCCAGAATAATCTACTGGGGAGCCTCAAAGGCAGCCTGCTTTGCCAGAGACGCCTTTGGGCAAGAATTAGATTTCTTCCCTGTTGTCCCAAACCCACAGAGAAGTCTGGCCCACACATTCCCCCAGTGGTTAGCAGGTAGAACCCCACTGTGGCAGGTGGCTGGGTGCTAAACCAGTACAGAGAGAAGTGGGAGTATAGGGCTTGAGTGGCCAGGCCCTGTCCTTAGACTCCCATATGTGCGGCTGCAGAGGGATTAGCAGGCTGGCTGAGAAAACTCAGGGCAAGAACTCACATGTGAAATACTTCCTACTGCTTTCTGTTTTCATGACTTAAATTTGCCTCATGTGTTAGTATCACAGTTTAAATCTCAAAATGATAATCATTCCTCTTTGGATAGCATTTCATAGTTTACAAGGTCATTTCAAATAACAGTTGCGGGAGGTAGCTATTAAGTTGTGTGAGGGCCGAGTATTATAGCCTCTTGTTATAGAGGAAGAAACTGGCATTCAGAGAGTCCATCAGTAGAAATTCTTTCCTTTCGTCTGTCCCTCCTTTGTCCTTCCTTCCTTCCTTCCCTCTCTTTCCCCCCTCCCCCTTTCCGCTTCTTCCCCTCTCTAATGGCAGATTTGTTATTCTATTTGTTATGACCCCCAGTACTTTCTAAATAAATGTCAAGCTTTAGTCAGCCAGCTTATCAAGAATGTCCAAGTAACTTTCCTTAACATCGAAATTTATTTGATGAACTCTGTGTTAACTAGCTATTCCAGTCACTCTGGTAAATAATCTCGTATTCCTTTTCTAAAATAAAAGCTCAGGATGGTGGCTCTGTTTGCATATGTCTTGACAGTTGGCTTTGGTCTGGTTACTTTAAATGGCTGGGACCCCTCCTAGGCTACTCTGACCTTCAGGACTTTTTACTTTGCAACCCCTTATTTGAGCTCAGATTGACAAAATAAGGCACAGGAAGGTAGGCAACTCTGTAAGCCTGATGATCTAATTAGGCAGGAAGTCAATTCTGGACATTTTTTGCCCTTCCTTCTTGGCCCTTGATGCTTTTTAATCCTCTTTTTCCTCCGTAGCTATAATGAGGAAACAAGGAAAATAGAATGAGCTAATTGGTGTGTATACCAGTAATACAAACGTGTATACACGCATATATAAAGACAGTGAGAGAGTTAGAGGAAATTTCCACAGTCAGCTAAAGGATGTGGATCATCAGTGAATTTCCACGTGGTCTTCTGCTCTATGCCTTGTTGGCACTGGGGCTTGCAGTCCAGCTAAAGAATGTCCAGCTCCAAGTTCCTCCTGGTTCTTGATCTTAGAAGCTGACACCTTAGAAGAAAGAAGATTTATTCCAAGGGCCCATATTACAAGTAAGTACTCTTCACTACCAGGATTTCAGAGTAGGTCTCTTTCTGACTTCAGATGAAGTGCCTTAAGGGCAATTTCATTTTTGTTTCTTGGAGGGAAGGAGGGGAAATGTATCATGGAACTATCATTACATTATCAGAGAGGTGAAAGCTTGTCTGAGCTAATCTTCTAGAGGGGAAACTTGTGCTTAGTCGCTCAGTTGTGTCCGACTCTTTGCAACCCCATAGACTGTAACAGCCTGCCAGGCTCCTCTGTCATGGGATTCTCCAGGCAAGAATACCAGAGAGGGTTGTTGCCATGCCCTCCTCCAGGGGATCTTCCCAACCCAGGGATCTAACCCAGGTCTCCAGCATTGCAGACAGATTCTTTACCATCTGAGCCACCAGGAAAGCCCAGAGAGGGAACTTAGATGGATAAATGACTTGCCTAAGAAGCCAAGGTGGATGCCCCTAGAACCCAGGTCTCCTAACTCAGACTTCAGAGCCCTTTTCCTTTGTTTGATTGACATTTAGGGTGAGTTTGAATATGAATGCTAGTGAATTAAGATGCTGGAGATGCTACTTAGCTTCTCTCCAAGTAGAAGAGTTGGGTCATAGGCTTCCTTGATAAGTTGATGAGGACTATAGAGCCTCTTCCCAGATGCACGAAGACAAGTTTGCATACAATTTCAGAAGGGCCACAGACTGCCACCTCCTGCCCCTTTCTCCCAGAAGCCCATCCATGGATTCCTTGTTGAGATCCCCCAGCCCCAGCTGTCAGTAAGTAGTCCATGACTTGGAGAATAGATGAACTGCCTAGTAGCTCCTTGTATAGCCAGTGGTTTTTTGGTCTGATGGTGATGAGGTTCCTTATCTATACACATGACTTTGCAGACAATGTTTCAGGCTAAACCACCTCCTAGAAAGTGTAAGCCAAGACCTGGGAGCTAAGCAGGGTGCCCATGGAACTTGGTTACATATTAGCTTTTCGGTTACAACTCTTACCTTGTAGAGCTGTTGATCTGATCCTCAGAATGAGGCATGGGACCCAAGCTGCATTCCAACCCTGAGCCTTTTACCCTCAAATGTCCATGACAACTTCTTATGAAGTATTCTGAGCAAGGGAGAAAAGAAACTGCAAACTGTGACAGCCCCTTCTCCAACCAAAGCCTCTAGCCTGGCCTATATTTATGTTTGCAGCCATCTGTCTTCTACTAGAACAATAAGGAGATGAATGATAATGATTCTTTTCATCAAGTTTCTTTCTTCATCAAGGCTCAAAGCCTCTAGTATATTATTATCTCATTATCAAAAATTGCCCCTTATTGTGTAGCCATGTTGATCTGTTACATTAGTTCCTGTTTTCCTCCTTTACCACCCCTCCCCTTTTACCCAGTTCCTGTTCTCTGTTAGATGGTTCTCTTGAATGTTCCTAACAGACTGAGTGGAAGAGGTTAGTAATGATTTTTTCCATTCCTGAGGCGGCTGCTCCCTATCAACCATCATGTTTTTGGGATGTAACTGCCGCCGGCACACCAGGTGTGCTGCTGGGAACACTTTGCTGTCACGGATGCAAATCGGCTTGAGAATCTTACCCTTTGCTAATTGGTACATTGAAATGTGTTAATTGACCTGGAAAAGTTATTTCTGTGAGTGGCAAATTGAGCTATTTTAAAAAGTTATAGTTTGGGTTTTGGACTTGAACTAGGGACAGAATGTCCCTTTGCTTTCTTGACAGTACTTAAAATAGAAAAAGCTTGTTTTCAAAAGAGGCCTTAGCTTTCTGAAGAATTGATTCAGGCAAAATTGTGCCTCAACCTTCTACAAAGGCCAGTGTGTTTCTGATCAGATGAATGCAAAGTGTATGGGGACATGGAGGGTATTGAGAAGGCCTGGGGTTCCACAAAATTCTAGGCACTGGCCTAGAATAGGTCTAATTACTGCCTGTATTTTGAGATTAATCTTTGAGAGTCTTACAGAATGCCAGCCCAGCCATACCAGTCAGTCCAAATTTTTATTGAGCACATTTTTTTGTTAAATATTGTGCTATATGCTTCAGGAGATGCAAAAGCAACCAGAGTTCATTCCCAGCCCTCAAGAAACTTGTGGTTTAGTTAGAAGGATAAGGCACAAATGCCTTAGACATGACTGCGATATTAGAGTCAAAATCTTGAGAAAGGAGAATTGCAAGACAATACAGGCTTAATCGCTAAATTGTAATTGTTTCAAGATCTACAAAAATGGGAAGAGGATTAATATCAGTATTTATGGAGCATCTAATGTGAATGTGTGCCAGGTAATTTATGGATATTCTTATTAAATTCTCACAAGAACCTGATTTTACCTGTGAGGAAACTGAGGTTTTGAGACGCTAAATGACTTGCTCAGAGTTACATGATTTGTAAGTACTAAAACTAAGTCTAAAGACTTTGAGCTCTAATGCACTGCGTCCTAAAGAGGTCATTGGATGAGGTGGTCCAGAAATGTTCCATACAAAAGTAAAGCCTGAACCAAGCCTTGAAAGGCTATTAGAATGTGCATGCAAATTGCAGAAGAAGGTGACAGTTCAACTAAGGGACCAGAGGTGTGGAGGTAGGAAATAGTAGACTCTCCTTGAGAGTCTAAAGAGCAGGATGGAGAGTCATGAACTCCAGTTGGTATATATAGACTTTGCCTCTTACTGGCCAATCACCAGAAGACATCCTGTGACACTGCTTCTGTCACACCTTTCAGCCCTTGGAGTGTTTTGATTTTATGTGTACTTACTTATGTTTTCCACCACCACTAAGAGTTCTTACAGGGAGACAGAGCTTTTCAACCACAAAATCTTTCACAAATACAAATATGTCACCCTAGTAGAGTTAAGAGTATGAACTCAGGGATCTGATTTTCCAGGTTCATACCCTGACTGTGCTGCGTGTGTATGAGAGGGAGGGAGAAAGGGAACTTGGCTAAGTTACTTAAATTGAATGGGCTTCCATGCTCTCATCTATGATATAGAGGTGATCATAGTGCCTCCCTCCTAAAGCTGCTCTGAGGATAAATCAGTTAATATGTGTAAAGCATGTAGCACAGCACCTGG